TGTAGTACCAGTCATCTGGTAGTCAGACATCTTCCAGAGGAGAAGGGACAGTGTTTGGACCACCATTGTCTATCAGTCTATTTTAGGCCTTCATAGGAATACCATCGTGTTGTAGTGTCTGTCATGGATGACAACTGTGGCAGGAAGATTCATCAGATTGTGCATATGACTGATGACTGTTGGTTGATCAAGACTGATAGGCGAGACTGAAATATTGCAGCAGCAACCCAGCTTGTCACTGTGCCCAGTTAGTTGTTGTCGGGAATTGGTACAGTGACCTTTCATTGGTATCAGTGAGGCTTAGGGGACCTTGTCGGAACAGGTGCGACAGAAGGTACCCTAGCCAAAATCAAAATACAGAAACGTACCCTTACTAAGGATGAGTCCATTCTGGGGCATGGCCACAGGGCACAATGCACAACTTGTTCTTTAGGTATTCGTCACTTCCTGTATGCCCAATCACAGTTAAATTCAACATGGCAGTACGTGTTTGTCAGGAGGAACTTTTGGATTATCTTCTGAAGTTGACAAGGCCGTACCGGTACGCAAGGGTAGGGTAGGCAAAAGATCGTGTAGAAGTAGCTCGCATGCACTCATAATAAGGTGAACTGCAACATTTTGATTTCAAGTTGGGGAATCTGGACTCATCAGCCGTTAAGGGTACCAGGTACATTTCTGTATTCTAATTTTGGCTATGGTACATTTCTGTAGCACCTGTGCTGACAAGGACCCCTTCAGTGTCAGTGAGCGTCAGCTGTATTCCAGCTGTATCATTGTAGTCTGTAAGTAAGCAAGTTTGAACCAGACAAACCAGTGACTGAAAGCATCAGCAACGATGTATGTATTTGGTGCACTGACCACCTGATCCCCCTTAGTCAGGTCATTTGACAAACAGGGATACCGAGGCCGTGACTTCAGGCTCGCTGCCACAAGGATCTTGTTGTCCTGGATTGTAGCATAGTCACTTCCAGCTTTCCTCCAAAAAGCTGAAATGCTGTGATATAACTGGAATACTGTTCAAAGCGGCGTTAAGCCCAACTCACTCACTCACTAACTCAGTGCTTGTGAAATAAGGGCTGTAGCTCACCTCCATGGAAGAAGTTTCCATATATAAGCTACCGTGTACAGTGTATGTCTGTCTACTGGTGGCAATACTTGTTAGCCTCTAGCCACTGTGTATAGGGTATGTCTGTCTACTGGTGACAATACTTGTTCGCCTCTAGCCACTGTGTACAGGGTATGTCTGTCTACTGGTGACAATACTTTTTAGCCTCTAGCCACTATGTACAGGGTATGTCTGTCTACTGGTGACAATACTTGTTCGCCTCTAGCCACTGTGTACAGGGTATGTCTGTCTACTGGTGACAATACTTGTTAGCCTCTAGCCACTGTGTACAGGGTATGTCTGTCTACTGGTGACAATACTTGTTCGCCTCTAGCCACTGTGTACAGGGTATGTCTGTCTACTGGTGACAATACTTGTTAGCCTCTAGCCACTATGTACAGGGTATGTCTGTCTACTGGTGACAATACTTGTTCGCCTCTAGCCACTGTGTACAGGGTATGTCTGTCTACTGGTGACAATACTTGTTAGCCTCTAGCCACTATGTACAGGGTATGTCTGTCTACTGTTGACAATACTTGTTAGCCTCTAGCAACTGTGTATAGGGTATGTCTGTCTACTGGTGACAATACTTGTTAGCCCCTAGCCACCATGTAAAGGATGTTAGCATCTAGCCACTATGTACAGGGTATGTCTGTCTACTGGTGACAACACTTCTTAGCCTCTGTCACCATGAAAGGGTGTCAGCCTCTAGCCACCATGTAAAGGATGTTAGCCTCTAGCCACTATGTACAGGGTATGTCTGTCTACTGGTGACAATACGTGTTAGCCTCTAGCCACTGCGTACAGGGTATATCTGTCTACTGGTGACAATACTTGTTAGCCTCTAGCAACTGTGTATAGGGTATGTCTGTCTACTGGTGACAATACTTGTTAGCCCCTAGCCACCATGTAAAGGATGTTAGCATCTAGCCACTATGTACAGGGTATGTCTGTCTACTGGTGACAAGACTTCTTAGCCTCTGTCACCATGAAAGGGTGTCAGCCTCTAGCCACCATGTAAAGGATGTTAGCCTCTAGCCACTATGTACAGGGTATGTCTGTCTACTGGTGACAATACGTGTTAGCCTCTAGCCACTGCGTACAGGGTATATCTGTCTACTGGTGGCAATACTTGTTCGCCTCCAGCCACTATGTAAAGGGTAAGTCTGTCTACTGGTGACAATACTTGTTAGCCTCTAGCCACTATGTACAGGGTATGTCTGTCTACTGGTGACAATACTTGTTAGCCTCTAGCCACCATGTAAAGGATGTTAGCATCTAGCCACTATGTACAGGGTATGTCTGTCTACTGTTGACAATACTTGTTAGCCTCTAGCCACTATGTACAGGGTATGTCTGTCTACTGTTGACAATACTTGTTTGCCTCTAGCCACTGTGTACAGGGTATGTCTGTCTACTGGTGACAATACTTGTTAGCCTCTAGCCACTATGTACAGGGTATGTCTGTCTACTGGTGACAATACTTGTTAGCCTCTAGCCACTATGTACAGGGTATGTCTGTCTACTGTTGACAATACTTGTTAGCCTCTAGCCACTATGTACAGGGTATGTCTGTCTACTGTTGACAATACTTGTTAGCCTCTAGCCAGTGTGTACAGGGTATGTCTGTCTACTGGTGACAATACTTGTTAGCCTCTAGCCACTATGTACAGGGTATGTCTGTCTACTGTTGACAATACTTGTTAGCCTCTAGCCACTATGTACAGGGTATGTCTGTCTACTGGTGACAATACTTGTTAGCCTCTAGCCACTGTGTACAGGGTATGTCTGTCTACTGTTGACAATACTTGTTAGCCTCTAGCCACTGTGTACAGCGTATGTCTGTCTTCTGGTGACAATACTTGTTAGCCTCTAGCAACTGTGTATAGGGTATGTCTGTCTACTGGTGACAATACTTGTTAGCCCCTAGCCACCATGTAAAGGATGTTAGCATCTAGCCACTATGTACAGGGTATGTCTGTCTACTGGTGACAAGACTTCTTAGCCTCTGTCACCATGAAAGGGTGTCAGCCTCTAGCCACCATGTAAAGGATGTTAGCCTCTAGCCACTATGTACAGGGTATGTCTGTCTACTGGTGACAATATGTGTTAGCCTCTAGCCACTGCGTACAGGGTATATCTGTCTACTGGTGGCAATACTTGTTCGCCTCCAGCCACTATGTACAGGGTAAGTCTGTCTACTCGTGACAATACTTGTTAGCCTCTAGCCACTGTGTACAGGGTATGTCTGTCTACTGGTGACAATACTTGTTAGCCTCTAGCCACCATGTAAAGGATGTTAGCATCTAGCCACTATGTACAGGGTATGTCTGTCTACTGTTGACAATACTTGTTAGCCTCTAGCCACTATGTACAGGGTATGTCTGTCTACTGTTGACAATACTTGTTTGCCTCTAGCCACTGTGTACAGGGTATGTCTGTCTACTGTTGACAATACTTGTTAGCCTCTAGCCACTATGTACAGGGTATGTCTGTCTACTGGTGACAATACTTGTTAGCCTCTAGCCACTATGTACAGGGTATGTCTGTCTACTGTTGACAATACTTGTTAGCCTCTAGCCACTATGTACAGGGTATGTCTGTCTACTGGTGACAATACTTGTTCGCCTCTAGCCACTGTGTATAGGGTATGTCTGTCTACTGGTGACAATACTTGTTAGCCTCTAGCCACTGTGTATAGGGTATGTCTGTCTACTGGTGACAATACTTGTTAGCCTCTAGCCACCATGTAAAGGATGTTAGCATCTAGCCACTATGTACAGGGTATGTCTGTCTACTGGTGACAAGACTTCTTAGCCTCTGTCACCATGTAAAGGGTGTCAGCCTCTAGCCACCATGTAAAGGATGTTAGCCTCTAGCCACTATGTACAGGGTATGTCTGTCTACTGGTGACAATACGTGTTAGCCTCTAGCTACTATCTACAGGGCATGTCTGTCTACTGGTGACAAGACTTCTTGGCCTCTGGCCAACATGTAAAGGGTAAGTCTGTCTACTGGTGACAATACTTGTTAGCCTCTAGCCACCATGTAAAGGGTGTTAGCCTCCAGCCACTATGTAAAGGGTGTTAGCCTCTAGCCACCATGTAAAGGATGTTAGCCTCTGTCACCATGTAAAGGGTGTCAGCCTTTAGCCACCATGTAAAGGATGTTAGCCTCTAGCCACTATGTACAGGGTAAGTCTGTCTACTGGTGACAATACTTGTTAGCCTCTAGCCACCATGTAAAGAGTGTTAGCCTCCAGCCACTATGTAAAGGGTGTTAGCCTCTAGCCACCATGTAAAGGATGTTAGCCTCTAGCCACCATGTAAAGGGTGTTAGCCTCCAGCCACCATGTAAAGGGTGTTAGCCTCTTGCCATAATGTAAAGGGTGTTAGCCTCCAGCCACTATGTAAAGGGTGTTAGCCACCATGTAAAGGATGTTAGCCTCTAGCCACCATGTAAAGGGTGTTAGCCTCTAGCCACCATGTAAAGGGTGTTAGCCACTATGTAAAGGGTGTTAGCCTCCAGCCACTATGTAAAGGGTGTTAGCCTCTAGCCACCATGGAAAGGATGTTAGCCTCTAGCCACCATGTAAAGGGTGTTAGCCTCTAGCCACCATGTAAAGGAGGTTAGCCTCTTGCCACCATGTAAAGGATGTTAGCCTCCAGCCACGATGTATACCAGATACCAGAATTTGGAATGAATTGTTTACAATTTGATCATCATATTTGTCTTTCACAGAACTGCCTCAGTGTTTGTAGGCTCAGTGAATATATGGTGACTTTCAGGAGCCACATATTTTGTAGGAATTTCATTGTTGTCATTCCATGAAATATTTATATCCATAAAACAATTATTAATACCAGAATATTGAATTTATTTTTTTATTTTTCAGTTTACTGAATGCTGATTGGTTGAGGGAATAGAAGGAGAAAGGGAGGCATCGTCACCATGACGATCCACATACCAGGCCTCATCGCTATTATTCTCTTCTATGTACTAATCCTTGGAGTAGGATTATGGGCCGCCCGCAAGTCCAAACAAACGGGTGCAACTGCCGACAGCGAGGATGTCATGTTAGCAGGGCGGAATATAGGTGTCCTAGTCGGAATATTTACCATGACAGGTAAGATTGTAGAAATAAATGTTATTGTTCGCTCATCTTGACGCAATGTTAAGTGAGTTTGATATGTCCTGGCGTGCTTGTCTGGCATCCTTCCTCCTAGAATATGTTGTTTGTTATGTCGCTATTCTCTTATAAAAAATATTATTTGCCACCATGGCTACTTTTCATCACTATCTTCATCTCTCTCGTCACAACAGAATTTCTCACAATTCATAAGTTTATATTTATTACGTGGCATCAAACAGTTTGACTCCAATCCCATCCCAATCCCATTTTCAGACTTACAACTGTTTATGTAATGATTGCAGTTTATATATATATACAGTCTGATTAGTTGAAAGTAGACATATATGCTACATTGTACAATGTTTGGAAAAAATGTTTTATTACATTACGAACGAGAAAAATAAGATATTGTCGTACAGTTCGCACATATGGAAATTTAAGTTAACGTATGACGTCACAGCACAATTGTATCCTGGCTCCCATAAGGCCCCTTCTCCTGGTCGGTCACATGTATGGAGCAATCTGACAATGTACATTGCTTAAACTTTCACATGAAGCAGCCTGCCGCTTTTGTGATTCTGAAACTAGGTCAGAACAAGGAAGGCCATGTTGTTTGTGACGAGTGTCACCGGTGGGACAGGATACACTCACCACGTCGCAGACACCTGGTGTCATCACTAGTCCATAGTGAGTCCTAAACACAAGCTCAGGATGTAGGCTGAATCGTACAATGGATTCGGCAGAGACTTCTTGTGATCATGGAAAGGGTCCTGTCACTGTTAGCACACACATCTATCTCCAGTAGAACTGTTCAACAGGTTGATGGTAGTTGTGTGCATGACAAGAGATCATTTTTGTGTCATGTCAGTTCCGACCCCCACATGACCCCATTGTGTGGAGTCAGTGATATTCTTGCAATATTACTACAAGTAGCTTAAGACCAATATATTTACACTATGTTCCGAAGTACAACTATAGTTACAGAAAAGGTGCAGTTATGCTTCTATAAATAAATTGCAAGTGATTTCATGGCTTCTGATTGGCAATTTTTTATATTTAAGTTTCCATAAACAGAAAACAAAATTAGACCACACCCACTCTCAGACTACTGTTTCCTGATTGGCTGATAGTAGAATGGACGGGGCTTGTGTTACATTATTGCACAGAACAATGCCACTGATTTGGTATTATTGTCTTCAGTTTTCTGTGTGTGATGAAATAAGCCATCTGGGAAGTTAATATAGACATATTTATGTACAAGAATTGACTTCAATATGGTTTTGTGTGTATGAGGATTTACACAGTATGTATTCCATTTTTTACATTCATACCTCCATAAACACAAAATATATTGAAGTCAATTCTTAAGTAATCTATCATAGATGGCTTAGTCTGAGGTCATGTTTGTCTCCCCGACTCTGACTCTTGTGGCTTAGTCTGAGGTCATGTTTGTCCCCCCCGACTCTGACTCTTGTGTATTGCCCATGGGGATGACGCTCGCCTTGTCTGGTCACAAGGACATGAATGATGTAAACTTGCTTCGTCCATGCTTGTATTATTTTGTATATTTTTTATACACAAGGTTTATATCTGAATATCCTGGTAATATGAATATTATTGGATGAATAAAGCTACATGATCATTGATGGCAACCTGTAAATAATTGAGTCTGGACCAGAAATTCTTTTTTTATTTGTCAACCATAGTTGATTAAACAGCGGAGGAAACTATTAAATTATTATCAGATGACTTTTTATCCCAGAGTTTTGTTTGTTTGTTTGTTATTTAATGCCGCACTCAGCAATAATCGAGCTATATGACGGCAGTCTGTAAATAATCGAGTCTGGACCAGACAATCCAGTGACTGACATCATGAGACATGTGACTTTTGTTACCTTGCCAACGTTTTAGTGGCCTAGATGAGTTGTGCACTGCTCTGACCAGTACGTCAATTTACCATGACATTTCAGCTTACATGGTCACCTTTGAATTTGCTCATTTTCTACATATCTTACCCAGCCTGATGGGTAATTTTAGCATAAGGCAGTGTAGATAGGAAGGACAGAGGTATTAATTGCTTAAATGTGTGAAGAAAACTAAAAGTAACACAAGTCATAGACATTTACCAATTTGGTGAAAACCATGAACGCTGGTGCTGACAAACCAAAGATGATAATATAAGGGTAACGCTATTTTTCAGGGCATTATCATTTGCAGAAGCCCGGGGTCTTCCATTAACTGCCCGACGAAGGAGGGCGGTTGAAAAGACTGAGGGCTTCTGCAAATGATAATGCCCTGAAAAGAAGCGTTACCCTCATTATAGCTAAAATGGATGGAATTTGCTGTAAGATAAAAAGAAACAATATCGGTTTGGAAACATTTACTGCAATCAACACGAATGTCACTGACCCACTTTTACAAATATGGAAACGTCAGAGAACAAACCAGATGACGTCACTATTGAACGTGACGTCACCTATCCCACCCTATGACGTCACCTAACAACGGGCGTGATAATGGCCCGTCGTCAAGCAATATGAGGGCATTATCAAGTTACAGTGGCCCGCTCATTTCTGATAACATGCGGGCGGTTTAATGATAATTCTATCCATTTTAGCTATAATGTGGGTTTTACCAGAGCGCCTGCGTCACATTTGGCTTTCTCCCACATTAAAGTAACACATCTTGATATGCTGTTGTCACTGTGATTAGCACCCCAGGCACTTTGAACATTGACATAGTGTGGTGCTTATTTAGACCAGGCAAGTTGTTTTTAGAGATCAGGTAGTTGTGAACAAGTTCAAATGAGGATGAAACAAAACTAACTAGTTACTAGGCAACTGTATCCCCCTTCAATGCCATTGTTTTCTGTACTATTCACAAGAAATTACAGACCGTCATGTAAATTATGGGTGTAAGTTGGGGGTGCATAAAAAATATTTACAGATTGGTCTAAAATTTGGTCAGTGGGCGTTTATTGAAGCAGGGCACTTATTACATTGAATATGGTAACTTTAGTGCTGTTCAAAGCAAGTGTTAGAGTGTAAAACCTGACTCACTTCTGTTGTTGTTGTTATTATTATAAAGCAGGTATCCAGGTACTAGTATCTGCTCAAATGCAGTTTTATTTGTTCCCCAACCAGTTGATCTGTCAGCATTTCTCAACTCCCTTTGGGAGTATTCAACCCAAGCCGCCTACAGGCGCTAGAAGTTTTTCAGTCCACCTCACATAATAGGTACCCGTTCTCTCCTGGGTGAACAGAGGCACATTTGAACTGAGTCCCTTGCCCGGGCTGACACCACGGGTGTTGACACTTGTGTATGTGTAAGAGTGAATATTATCCTACCCTATTTTTTACCCTTGGGATGAAATTCTCTAGTGTCAGGATGATTCTCCCTGGTGAATTTGAACCCCTACCAGTGTGTTTAATCCTATCCTATACTATACTCTAGAGTGAAACTTCCCCTGGGATAATATTTAGGTGGGATATAATCCTTGCTTACATGTGTACATATCTGTGTTTCCACCATCCAGTCCTCTGCCAGGTAGTTCTGTTGTATCTGTGTTGGTTGTTTAACTGAGCTTCTACATGTAATTGCTTGTCAGCAAAATTGAACTGCCTCCTACACCAATCAAAGACTGAAAACCAATTGTCTTCTTTTTCAACTATACTGCTCACAAAAAGTAGGGGATATTGAAATTAAAATCAGTGGCACAAAGACAGTAATATAGAGGCCTACAAATAATTTATGTATGATTGAGGAAAAGCATAGGTCCGTCTGAGCATGCCTCACAATGACCACCAGATGCCCTTGCATCCAGGAAAATTGCACCCAAACGTACCAGGGGGTGGGGATGAGAAATCACATCTTGTGTCACGTGCAAATGACAAAATCCACGTGCCTCACGTGCAAAAATGGGTGTTAACATGGGTCTTGGACCAAGTTCATCCATCACTTCACCACTTTCCACAATGCGAAGGTTACGAGAAGACGAAAGATTGAGAGCAATTGGGATGATCCAGGCCGGAAGAACGCAGGCCTACACAGCAGCACAACTGCATGTCTCACAGTCAGTAGTCAGCCGGTTGTGGGCATGTTACATTGCCACTGGAAGGGTTCAAGACAGACCCCGAAGTGGTCGTCCAAAATGCACGACCAGACATGATGACCGGCGGATCATCACTGGAGCCCTCCGTGATCGACGTTTAAATGCGACACAGCTGCAGCAGGTTCACAGACATGCCACTGGGAATCTCATCTCCACACAGACGGTACGAAACCGGCTCCATACTGCAGAACTTCGAGCAAGGCGACCTTACATCACATTACCCCTAACAAACCGTCACAGACAAGCCCGGCGAGAGTGGGGTCGTCGTCACCAGAGGTGGAGCAATGCCCGGTGGTCCCATGTGATGTTCAGTGATGAGTCGAGGTTCTCTTTAGACTTCAATGATGGCCGTCATCGTGTCTGGCGTCGTCCTGGTGAGCGTCATCAGCCAGCTGCCATGATTCCACATGATCGGTATGGGAGGGGTTCTGTTATGGTGTGGGGTGGAATCACGGTGACAGGCAGAACCGATCTCCACATCTGCCAAGGAAGAGTTACGGGTGTTTACTATCGGGACAACATCATCACGCAACATGTCCTGCCATTTGCACACCGTGACGGACAGGGTTTCATCTTCCAGGACGATAATGCCAGGGCTCACCGTGCGCACGTCGTCCTTAACCATTTGCGGCGGCACCAAATTGAAACTCTTCCATGGCCAGCGATGTCCCCCGACCTCTCCCCTATAGAGCATGTGTGGGATATGCTCGGAAGACGAGTGCAGAGGCGGCATCCCCCATGTCAAGACTTGCAACAACTGGGCGTGGCACTCCAAGAGGAATGGCACAGGATTCCCCAAGTTCACATTGGTCGCATCATTAGGAGTATGAGACGTCGGTGTAATGCTTGTTTGGCTGCTAATGGTGGGCCAACCCGGTATTAA